CCACACGTCTTCAAGTTCCCGAGGAGTTGAAGTCCACACATCTTCAAGTTCCTGAGGTTGAAAAACACAGGCCTAAACTAACATGTTCTGCGCAAGCCCTCCATTAAGCACCTCTTAGTCATTAATTGCAAACTGGAACTCCACACATCTATTTTGCACCTTCCCCACCCCCACAGATGCCCTGAGCCAGCATGTCTCCACTTCAGTGAGTTGTACAAGCAAGCTGGCTCCGGTGGAGCTGTGAAATGGAAATTTATGCTGTCCGCAAAACTGAGCAACTGCCAGGCTAAATGTCACACACCGTGTAAGTATTATTCTAATATATATGTTTTTTTCTGAACGTGGGATTTGCTCTCAAAGCTTGGTCTGAACGCAGCCTCTTTATTCCCCAAGCTTCTTGCCATCCTGACCCTGGTTCCCATCTCACCTGTTCTCTTGGAGATGCAGGCTCGGTTCCCACAACCACGTTGGCTAATACCAGAAGGTTGTAGCAAAGGTAACAGGCCTGCAGGGGAGAGAGAAAAGAGATCAATGAAACAGGGAGGCAGATGCTGCTGCTGCTGCTGCAGATTTCATGTCTCCTTTCCTTCTAGGGCCATCAGTGGTCCAACCCTCCCAACCATCATCCAAGGAGACAGACAAGGCCTCCATATCCTATTTCTGGGACACAACACCTTTCACTCCTCTCCTCCCAAAGCAGAATTCATCAGTCAGCATTTGACCACAGGAGAAAAAATGGCCAACCCAGTTCCAACCATCTCTGTTGCAACCAACCATCTCTTGGCCCACTTCTTCTGGACAGCATCCCATCAGTGGCTTACTCAGAAGTCCATGGAAAGCCTGGGAGAGGACCTGCTTGACATTCAGGTGTACCAACTTTGGAGTGGATTGAAACTCCATGGGGTCAATTTTTTTCACCCAGGAGTGGGCAGTCTTTTTGGCTTGGGGACCATGCTTTCTGTATGTGCCCAGCCTACGGGGGTGAATGTGGGCTGCACAGAGGCCAGGGAGGTCCCCGTCTTAGCCTCTCATTCTTCTGTGTCCTGAATGGCATCTGCATTCTCTCTCTTGCATCCCTGGCAGTGGGAACTTTTTTCCAAGCTGCATTGCCTGGTAGGGAGGGGGAATGTGGCATTTGTGGCCAATCGTGGTCAGGGATGGACTCTCTTCTGTTTCCTTAGTCTGGAGGGGTGAAGGTGGAAGAGAAGGAATAGAGCTGTCATGATGGTTAAGGTCAAAATGATGGAGGAACAGAGAGCTGGAATGCCACTGTTCATTGAAGAGCAGGTTACTCAATCCCACGTCAGCCTCATCTGGTGGGCTTTGTGTGATTCCAGCCATTCAGAAGCTTGTGGGTGAAGAGAGCTCTCTCAGAGACAAAGATCTGGAGACGTGACTTGGGTGGCACAACTCAAGAGCGATGGGGGGGGCGCAGAGGAGTGGTTGGCCTGACTAACATACACATGTGGTGGGTAACTAAGTTCGTACCCAGAAAGACTGAGGAAGCTGGCTGGCACACGCTGCCTGTGGGTACATTATCTGGCACAGAGTTTGGTTCTATGAATTGGGTGTTCTGCTGGGCAGAAAGAGAATACAGTAGGGTTTCTGTTTCAGGGCAAAGTTTCGGGGTAAGTTATACGTTCGGTTGCTTCACCTGTCTGCATGCCCAAGGTTTCCTTGAACTCTGCATCTCACGGGAAGCTGTTTCCTGAAGGGTTTGGGGGACGTGTTAATGACTTCAAATGGTTGACTGTCCCTCAACTAACCCAGTCCCGTTGCTTGATGACCAAAATGAAAAACTAGAGCAATCTGGTGGAGTGGGGAAGGTGCTGGGCTAGAAACCAGGAGATGGTGAGTTTGAGTCCTCCCTTGGGCAGGCAAACTGGCTGGGGGGACATTGGGTCACTCCTTCCCTCTCAGCCAAGCCCACATGACGGGACTGTTGTTGTGGGGAAGATGAGAGGCAGGAGCATTATGTACATCACCTTGAGATGACCAAAAACAAAGCTGGGAGAAAAAGCCAGTAAATCGATAACAGACGCTGCCCAGCTTTTATTTGTTAAAAGTCGTGCAAAATGAATAGTCAAGTATATTTCTGATAACAAGGTCAAGATGCTCTCAAGTCACGCTCAACTCCTGATAACTTCATGGACACAGACACACAGCTGTCTTGTGTTGTCAGCAACACAAAAGGGACTTGCTTTTCAGTTTCCCAGTCTGGCCTCCCACCCAAAGGTTTCCTGGCATCTCCCATCCAAGGCCTGACCTGGACTGACCTTGCTTAGCTTCCCAAACCCAGACAAGTTCAACGGGGGCTCCCGTGTAGACCGAAAGCAATAAAGATTAGGGTAACCATTGAATGGCATTCTGGTATGCATTTATTATTTATTTAACAGGACTGAGAGGCTGCCCCAATTTCACAACCCCAGAAATTGCACATGAACAGACCAATACAGATGAATAACTCTGTGGTGAAGAGAACAATTCAAATTATAATTAAAAACGGTAGAGAACCCCATGCAGATAGAGGTGCACCAAAACACTCTAGGCCCAAACAGTGGGGTTCAGGTGGTAGGAGGTGTGTGTGTGTGTGTGTGTGTGTGTGTGTGAAATAGGCAATGTGGTGGTCACAGCCTCACAATCCAAGGGGTGGTACATAGATTGTGCTCCCTATCCCATGTTACCTGGACACAAACTATCATACCACCGTGGGCTGAATCATTTCAGAATGGGGCAAAGTTATTGCATTTCTCAACAGACAAGTTTTCAATTTTAATTATCCCTACATAGGTCAGTTTAGGTTAACTCTAACCCCAACAAGGATATCCCAGATCCTAAGAGTTAAGTTCAACCATGAAGAGACAATACTCTTTCTTCAATGGGGTGGAACAAAAATTACATTTGCTGTCAACAGATTTATAACCATCTACAAACTGGATATTTCGAGGTCAGTGTTTCTTTCTCTCTCTTTGTTCATTTGCATTTATTAAGAATTTTTCCATAGAGCAAAAGACAGATCAAAAGGGAAAGGAAGGGAAGGGAAGGGAAGGGAAGGGAAGGGAAGGGAAGGGAAGGGAAGGGAGG